ACGGTGTGTGCAACAGCGAGGCGCTGTGAAACCAAAGTAGCCATGAAGAAGGGCTTAGGAAAATAAGACCCGGTGTTTTCACAATGTTAACTACTATGCAGCAATCAAGAAGAACAAGCCAGGCCTCCCCAGTGGCGCAGCGGCTGAGAGCAGCACTGTGAAGCTGTCCGCAGCCTTCGCAGTGCAGGTTCGATTCCCGGCTGGCAGTGGGGATACCCACATGGCACGGCAGACCTCTCCTGCCATGCCTGCTGCTCCCCTAAGCAGTGCTTTCGGTCTGTCTGCCTGTTCTGCTCCCTACTCTGTCTCCGGTGAATCCTCTCGCCCTCCCGCGCCTCTGGCCTGTGCCCCAGCTATTGTATAAATAAAAAATAAATCTTTAAAAAAAAATAAAAGAACAAGCCAAACATACATTATCAATGTGGACGATCTCTAGAACATATTAAGAGGAATAAGATGAAGAACATGCTCCTTGGTACCATTATGTAATTTTTATTTAAAATTTTAAAACTTACATGTATTTTTTATGCACACAAGTTTGTAGTGTTCATGTGCATACAGAGGAAAAAGAACTTTGGAAGGAAGATAGGGAAAAACACTGCATGTGGAGGAGAAGCATGAAAGGGGGGATGAGGACAAAGGAGACCAAAAAACAAAATAAAAACTCCCTTGTGTCCAGCCTGGTGGGAGATGCCGGAGCTGAGGCTGTGGGTGGTAACAGCAAGCCTGCTACACTCTATGTTGTGCATCTCAGATTAAAACAAAATAAATAACCATGGTTTGGGTTTAGATGATCCCTCAGGGCCTCCAGATACCCCCACCCTGTGTTTCCACGGTACTTAGCCAGTGCGGCCAGAGCCAGACCCACGCTGGGGTCCGGAGCAAAAACCATGCACAGCCCGAGAGGAAAGCCGTACCTGAGGCAAGGTGTACAGAGCTGAGATAGAGAGTGATGAGATGCAGATAAAGTCACTATCTGTTGCATAATCTTTTTACATAATTCTGCTTGTGACTTCCTGCCCTGTCCATCCAGTTGCATCAGTAACCAGGAACCACAGGTGATTTATACCCTGTTGGGCTATGCCTTCTTTAGTGCCTTATCGTCGGCAACTGTGTTTGGTTTTCTAAGTTCTGGAATCTGTCAGAAATAAACAGCATTGCGGGGGAGCCAGGTCAGGGAGCCAGCACTGAGGTCAGCGCATCTGCATTTGCTTGTTCTGCATGCCCAGCCCAGGAAGGGAGTTTGTAGGAGAGCAGGTAGAAGAATCACTCTTGCCGCGAGGTTTAGCTTTCCACCCAGTTCCTAATTTGTCTGTGGTCTAAGTATAACTTGCAGAGCACTGGGGCCAAGCTCACCAGTGTCGACATGGAACACATAGCACAGCTCCTACTGCGAAAGCTGTTTCCATGGCAGTGCAGGAGGGGTCCCACTGTGGGTTACACACGCGGCGGACTTCCTGGACAGACTCCTCAATCAGCTTGGGCCCCACAGTGCCTCTCCCAGACCAGCTGCTACCTCCATCCCAACCCAGCTATCCCCTTTCTTGAAAAACCTCCCCCTCCGCCTCTCCAGACCCATACCCTCTCTCCAAAATCGCCACCCCCTCCTTGATAAGGCAGAAGCCAGTTCAACCACAATGAGGCCAGAGGTATGGGAGGCAGCATCCTCTGGGAAGTGCACGAGCTGTCCCAAGCCCTGCCCCAGGACTCCATCCCCTGGTGGCTGTCAGCAGTGGACAGAGACTTCACTTAACCAGCCGGCTGTCCTGGTCCTCACTCCGGTACTGTTCACAAAGTTGCCAGCAGAGGACTGGGCAGCAGCCACGCCCAAACCTGGGCCCAGCAGGCAGGGCAATACCTTACTCCACCAGTCAAAGCTGTGTCCAGAAAGGAAAGGGACATGGTCTGGCATGACTGTCTTCCTACGGGCCACGCTGGCTCCCAGCACGGTCACTTACCTTTCCACAGGCTCGGACACCACCTGTTATGGACTGGTACCCTGGGGTCTGCTGTGCTGGGAGTCGTCCCAGGCAGCTCCCACTCCCCGCCTGCCTGCAGCTTTCCAGTCTGTCCACATCTGTCCACATCTGTGCACATAGTCTCCTGGTAGCAGCACTGGCTTCTGCACCTTGTTTCCAGTTCTCTGGACTGTGCTGCTTGGTAGGTGTCGGAGCAGCTGGTCACTCAGGAGGCAGAAGCAACTAGAATGTGGTCAGAGGAAAGGACTGGGCAGTAGGTCCCAGAGAAAGCGTTTGCCCTGGAACACTGATGTGGTCACTCTCGTCACAAAGTGGGGAGGCCCAGGAGGCATGGGCTGGCTCTCGCTTCTCTCTTCTGCAGGCAGCCGAGGTCAGCCTCTCTAAATTGCTAGTTATTCCTTTCTTCAATTAAGAACGATTCTTCTGTCGCAGGAAGTAAACTCCCACCAGTTAATCTAATGGCCCTGAGCACTGATGTGTTTGCTCTGTCTGAAGGCAGAGCCGGAACTTCCTTGGCAGCTGGCAACAACCACATGCAGGCGCTGCCCTGGAGGGCCAGGGCCCCACGCTCCCTGCTGCCCCAGAGCTGCTGTGCCCAGACAGGGGCTGTGGCTGTGGTGAAGGTTTAAAGAGGGGAAGCCAAGGATGGAGCTGGGAAGTGGTTTCTTATGTGGCAAGCCTCCATCTCTGGCCCCTTGCCTTCCCACCTGAGAAGTGGAGGTATTGAAGGGGGTTGGCATCAACTTGGCACCTCCCTTTAACTGCTCCACTTACCCTCTCCCAAAGCTGCTTGTTTAGGATTTGTAGACACACACACACACACACACACACACACACACACACACACACACACACTCCTGCACATGCCAGGCCCAGGTGCTTCCCCTCTGGGACAGGTTTATTGCTTCTCAGGTGTTCAACGGTCTCCTATGGGACCACTCACACCCACAGACCAGATGGCCCAGCCTGAACATTATCCAGGTAGTCGGGCCTCTGTGCCCCACAGACCAGGAAGGGGGTGAGGTACTACAGAGTGTGGATCTGAAATCTAAGCCTAACTGTCTCAGCCTCTATTTCCTTATGTGTAAGTGTACCATAGGATACATTTCAGAGAGTACCTGAGGGTTAAATGACAACCCAGATTTGAAGCCCCAACCATACAGACTGCCCAGCAAATACTCATTCCCATTCCTATCCTCAGTGCACCTGTGTGGGGAGGTCTGCTTCAAACCATTCACTCTCCCATTTGGTGACCCGTGGCACCCTGCCTAACAGCTCCAGATCCAGGAGCTTGGAGGCTCTGAAATTCTCTCTGTTGGAGTTGGTGCTGCTGTCTGGTCCCAGAGCTCTTGGGACTGAGGGGTTTCCTGGGATGTGGGACTTCTGGTCTAAAACAAGGACAGTTCCAGCAAACCAAGATGGTTGATCACCCTAAGGTGAAACAAAGTAGGGTTTGGACAGAGGATCCTGGGAAGCCAGAAGGGACTCACAGTCACACAAGAGGCAGATTCCTGCTCAAATGAGGGAAAACACTGTCCAAAGATGAAAGAATTCTAGCCTGAGGTACTGAGCTCCCTGTCCTTGGGAGGAAGCAGAAGGACTACCTGGGGGGATCCTATGGATGGCATAAACCTCAGAAGGGGTGCTGGCCTAAATGCACATTGAGAGCCCTTTTATCCCCATGTGTGCCCAATTTTTACAGAGGGGCTAAGGGGTTCCTGGAGTCAGGCCTATAGCTAGCCCAGGGGTGGAATTATCTGATGGACCTTTGTCCTGGAAGGGGGTGTTGGGGTGCCTGGCTGCAGATCATAACTGGGTTTTGTCAGAAGAAAGCAGAGGGCATCTTCTCAGTGGATGGCTGGGTGGAAATCAAAAAATCACCTGAGGAGCAGCAACCCCCTTACCCCTTTCTGGCAGCAGGAGCCAGGTAGCTGGCTTTGGGGGATGTTAGAAGCTGCCAAAGGCCACTCAGACATGTGTTGGGCCCACAGATCCAGCCCAGTCCTGACTAGGGAGAGGACTGGTCTCCTCAGGGGCTTTCCTGTCACTCAGGCACCACTAAACGGCTGACTATCTAGTGTACCCTGCTGGGCTGGACTGTAGATCCCCGGAGGCCACTAGGCACAGACCACAACTCAAAATGCCCCAGTGCCTAACACTGGGATGCCCTGCTCACTGGGATGCCTTTAGGATGTGGGCTTTTTTGGAAAGTGGAAGAGGGTACTGCTCACAGCCTCCCTAAACTGGGCTCAGAGAAAGCGTTCTCCAGCCTGGAACCCCAGGTGGGTGTTCCATGTATTCTACATGCCCCTAAGAGTCAGGGGCACAGAAATCCCTTCTCTTTTGAGCCTAACTAAGTCAGACCCCAGAAGTTCTCGGGACCCCCTGGAGGTACTGAGCTCCCTGTCCTTGGGAGGGCGCAGAAGGACTACCTGGGGGGATCCTATGGATGGCATCAAAACCTCAGAAGGGGTGCTGGCCCTGGGGCTGAGGCAGAGTCCGTTTCTCTCTCTGATCCGAGGAGGGACCTCCCTCTTGGCTTGGGGGCGCCTCCCAGCGTCCCCGTCCTGCCGGACGCCTCTCACTCTCCCGACGCCAGGCTCTGGGTGTCCAGCCTCAGAATGGCTCTCCCCAAACCTCCCTCTCCGCGCTGGTGTTTCGGCCCGGGGTGGGGGGTGATTCTCCCAGCGCGGTCTCGGTCTCCCCGCGCCCCCGGCCCCAGCGCGCGCCCCCTTCGCCGTCCCCGCGCCGCAGCGCCCCGCGTCTCCCGGCGCGCCCTGCTCCCCGCCTCCGCCCGCCCGGGTCCCGGTCGCCGACGCCCCTGGGCTGCGCCCCCCGCACGCTGCGGCGGCGGCGCGGGCCGGGGCGGCGCGGGCCGGAGCGCGGCGGCGGCCCGGGGCGGGGGTGCGGGCCCGCGGGGGCGGCGTCGGGCGCCTCCTTCGTCAGTCCCTCCGCGGCGCGGGGGGGCGGCGCGGCCGCCGCTCGGCGCCTTTAAGGGAGCGGGCGGGCGGCGAGGCGGCGGCGGCTGCGGTGGCGGAGCCGAGGCGAGCGGGGCGGGGGCGCGGGGCGCGGCGCTCGGAGTCCGCTCGGGCCGGAGGCGCCGCGGCAGCCGCGGCCGGGCCCGGGAGCCGCGAGGAGCGCGCGCAGCGCAGCCGGAGCCGCCGCCCGGGCCATGGCCAAGGCGGGCCGTGCAGGTGAGGGCGGCGCCGGGAGGGCAGGGCCGGCGGCCGGGGGAGGGGCCGCGCGGCGCGAGGAGGGGCGCCGGCCCAGGTGAGCCCCCCGCGCAGGTGGGCGGAGGTTCCGGGAGGGCGGCCGCGGACCGCCGCGGGGCCGGACCCCGCGCACGGACAGGGGCCCCGCGCGCCCCGCGTCCTTCCTGCGCCCCCAGTCACCTCGTGGGACGCCCCGTGCCCCTCGCCGTGGCCCGGCTGCGAAGGGCCGGGTCGGCGGGACCCCCGTCCGGCCCGGCGGAGAGGAGCTGCTGCCGCCCTCGGGAGGCCCCGGGCTGACCCGGCGCGGGGACCGGAGGCGCTGTCCCGCGGCCGTCGTTGCATCCCACGCCCCCCAACGCAAACCGGGACGCGCCCCCTTGTCCTGCCGCCAGCTCTATCCAGGACGCGGCACCCCCCGCGCCCCGCGCAGTCAGGAGACCCAGATTTCTTCTTGGGAGGGAGGGGTACTCTGCCCGCTGGCTGGGGAGCCGTCCCGCCCCCTCCCCCAACCCGACCCTGGGGAGCAGAGCCTCAGGTGCCGAGGGCTGAAGGTGGGGGACCCCTCCTGGGCTTCTGTGGGCTCTGCCCACCCCCAGACTCAGGTGGTGTAGCCCGTGATTTGAGTGAGTGGGCGTTAGGCGTTTGTTCATTCATTCAGCCAGACGTTCATTCACCAACATCTGCCGTGTGCCAGGCCTGGAGCCGGCCAATGGGTATCTCAAGGTGGACGGGGCTACCCTGTTTGCACACTTTGGGCCTCATAGTGCCTTGGGAGGTCTGGGTGGAGGGAGGTTCCAGGACCCTCACCGTCCAGTGGCGGGTAGCAAACGTGGTTTCAGCAGGGCTGGCGTGAGAGGCTGGTGTGTGAATAGGCCATGAACTCACACTCAACCTGTAACATTGGCAGGTGCTGTGCTTCCATTCAGACTTGGCATTGGCCTGGCATGAACCCCACCCCTCTACCATAATGATGAGTGATGGAATGAATCCGAATTCACCCATGCACAGGTTCCGTGTGAATACCGAGGGGCTGTGTATAAATCCATCCCACCCCACAAATACTACTAGGACCCTGGCTGTGTCTGATCCCTGGGGACAGGCACTAGCTAGGGTGGTGACTTAGGTGCCTGAGAATATACTCCTATTCTGTCCCTCAGGAATTCTTTTGGGGTGGGGCTGGTTGTGTGAGACACAGCAAGTATGGAAAACATCTAAACACCCCCTTTCTCACTTCCCTCCCTTTCCCCCTCCTGAGGGAGGCACCTCGAGATGACACCAACGAAGCTGGAAAAGGCTGTCTCCCTCCTTCCTCCACTGTGCCCTCCCTCCCACCCCTCAAAGGGCACACGGCAGGGTGTGTCCCGCCTACTGCCTTGCTCTGTGTGTGTGTACATGCGTGTGTGTGCACGCACACCCTGTGCACAGATCATCTGCCAGGGCACTGCCATCCTAATAGCCGTAACAGTTGCTGCTTGTACTATGTACCAGGCAATGTGCTCAGCACTTGACTGCACAGTGATCCCAGGAGGGAGGAAATGTTACTCTTCCCCCTTTAAAACATCTGCAAACAGACACTCAGAGAAATAACTCCCTTAAGGGGGGGGGGGTCTACAGCTGAGTCTGTTGGACGTTAAGTGGTTGGGGAGAAAATCCATCGCTGCTCTGAGAGGTCATCCCCCTCACTGAATAGGAATGTGGTCCTGGTCCCTCTGCTTGGGGGGGGGGGTCCGTTGGTCCCTAGGCAGAGAGTTCATGGGAATTTGTTCCAGTGACAGGTGAAAAAACTGTCCTGCTCCCAGCATCAGTGTCCCGTGCTGTCTTAACAGTTTGTCTTCCCTGCTGCAATTTCATGCTTGACCCTGTACCTCAGGGCAGCGCAGACTTCCTTCCTCTGTGGATCCAACTACCTGGGCTTCTCTCTCCAGTGTTCAGTTGCCACCCCCAAGGATCCTTTGGGGTTGACCCCTGCAATCCCCAAATTCCCCTCCCTTTTCAGCTCTCCCAGGCTGTTTTGCATTTTGCAAATGTCCCTTCTCTTGTGAATTGAAAGCAGCATGCAGCAATGTGTGCTTGGGACTCACATCTTGCCCACTGGCACACTGGGTGTAGAATAGATTGGCAGGGGGTCTTTGGAGATCAGGAGCCCAGGTCCCTCTCTTCATAACTAGGGAAACTGAGGCCCCAGGAGGTATGTAACACAGAGAAGAGTGGCTATTCAGGACCATCCACCTCAGATGGACAGACTGCTGGTCAGAAATGACCAGGCCACCACTCTAGGAGTGACACCGTAGCCAATGGAGACTGAAGGCCGAGGTGGAGGCTGTGAGAATCTGGGGTCTGCACTACGATCTAGGAGGCAGTCCCTCTAAAATCTGATAAAGGGACCACCTACTGAGAGGTGAGCCAAGCATGTAAGCCTCAGGGCCATCCAGGGTCAGCACACTGTACCCTACTGAATGGAGGCTCCACGCCTGTGTGCTGCACAGCCTGATCCAGCCGTGTGTGTCCACTCTCAGGAGGAGCTGAAGAGAGGCAGCGTGAGGACTTTCCTTTTGCCAGAGAACTCAAGGACAAGGGAAAATGTTACCAGGTCCCAGAGAGCATTGGATAAACCACGGAGGGTGGATCCAAATGGGTTCCTACCAGTTCCCAATATCTAGGGCGATTTCAGTCACATAGACGAGAATCACTCGGGTGCCCCTTGGCATCCAATCTTGACAGGAAAAGCAGGGGAGAGCCCTGGTCTTGTCCTGAGGGAGCTCTCCATCTGGTGGACAAAGGAGGTGTGAGCCCTACTCTGGGGAAGAAAGTCAGAAGCGAGGAGATGCAGCCCGGAGGAAGGGGAGGGTCCGGGAACTCCATTTAGGAGGCAGTAATTGACAGTGAGGAGATACCGCTGGGCAGGGTTCCTGCACGGTACAGATTAGACTAGGCGCGTGTGCCCTGAACCAGCCAAGGTTAGGCCTGTCTAGGAGACAGGCCTTAAAAGCTAGCAGTTTGGACAGGAAGGTGGCCAAGGACAGGCTTCCAGGAGGGTAATGGCTTGAACAAAGGTTAGGAGGTTGGACTAGGAAAGATGTAAATGTGGAAGAACTACTGTAGGGTGGGAACGGGAGTGGGTGGGTGGGAGGTGTCCGAGGATGGAGAAAGCTGTCTGACCGGGGTGGAGTGTTCACAGAGGGGTGAGGAGAGCTGAAAGGACCTGTGCAGGGCACTGAGGATGGAGGCCACATGGGAAGAATTTGTGATTTGACAGATTCCTCTTGCTGCTATGTGAGGGCTCCTGGGAGGGTGGGGAAAGACCAGCCTGGCAGAACTGTCTTCGTTGGGAACACTTGGTTCTGGTTCCTGTCAGCCACACTGCCCCTCCCTTCCTCCCTATGCCCCTGTGGCCCTCCCTCTGTACCACAATAACTTCATAGGGGTGTCTGCCAGCACAGATGCTGTCAAAGTAGGAGACCCACTTCCTCCAGGTGGAACAGAGCCAGCAGCCAAGAGGGTCTTGGGACATTTCAGGCTGGGACAGGAAGGGCTGCAGATGCCAGGCTGGGGCCATGGGGCTGGGCCTTCCAGGCTGGAGGAACCAGTTTATTCACTCCCAGGTGTTGGCCTCTGCTCTGAGGGGAGGAGCTGGTGGGCTGAGTCTGTGGAACTCAAGTTGGTAAAACAACAACCTGACAGTGGGAGGGCTGGAGGGGATGCTTCCAGATCCTCCTGTTCAAAGCCCTTATTAATTAGGGGACACTGGAGCCTGAGGCGGGGAGGGTGTAGGTATTACCCAAGGTCACAGAGAAAGGTGGTGGCAGAGCTGGGGCCTGGAACCTGTACTTCCAGACTCTCAGATTGGACCTTGCTCTGCCATGCTACCATCATCCCAAAGCCAGAACTCTCCTAGGCCTGCTGCTCCTTGGCCTCCATGGGCAGGGATCAGTGGCCAACTGTCTCAGAGGAAGGAACGCTGGAAGCTTGGGAAGATGATCAGCAGTGGGGTTCTCAGGACTTTGGGGAGGTGCCAGGGGACTGGAGGCATGACTGAGAAAATTTCAGGCCTAGGGTGCCAGGATTGCTTTGCTGTATATCTGCTTAGGGATCACGGTCTGCTAGGAAACTGGACATTCATCTCCTCTCAGGGGGATGCCAGGACTAACTCAGATACCAGTGTCCAGACTCAAGGCCTTCCTAAAACTACATCTCCAGGAAGCCTTCCTGGACTTCCCTGTAGTTGGCGTGTGCTGGAGTTTGGGCAGGTCCCTTGCTCCTCTGCTGAGTTACCCATCTCAGCAGCAGGTCCCAGCAGGCCCCAGCAGGCCCAGCTTGAGACCCTTTGCTGCCTTTTAGCCCTGCCTGTGGTGTGGCTGCATGAGTCAAAGATAGCAACTCACACAGAAGTCCCACCTCAAACATGTGACCCTGGGCCAGGAGTCCCCATCCCTGCTGGCAGTCTTTGTAATAACCTGGTTGGCATTTGGAACCCCGGTGGTGAGACACAGAGCGTGAGCACATGCCTAGACCCCCTATGTCAGTGTTGCGTTTGCCAGAAGATGTGATGTTTTCTCATATACCTCTTGGTGTATTGTGATAGTTCAGAACTAAAGGAAGCTTGGGGATCTTGCTATTGGTGGGAGAGCAAGATCTTGCAGGGTGGGAGAGCAAGGCCAGGAAGGCAAAGATTCCTTCTCTGAGGTCTGTGGTCTTCAAGGTCAGAGGGTGTGGAGTCCCAGAGCCCAATGAAGCTTGAGCACTGAGGACTTCGCTACAGGGAACTGACTGCCTCTCCAAGGCAGGCCTGATGTTATTCCCATTTTATGCATGAGAAAACTGAGGCCCTGAGGAGGATGTATCTTTTTCTAGAATCACACATAAAGTTAGAGGTAGAATTGGAATTAGACTTTAACTCTTGGATTCAGCATTCCTAGAAGTTCAATTATGTAACAAAGAAGGCCTGACTCTTTTACTGGTTGACCTTTAACTGCCCCTCTGGG